TCGCCACAAGGACCCCCGTCCCATCTTATACAATCGATTGCGACGTCGACCCCATCCCAATAAAATGGAGCGTACAAATGAATGTTGGCTGCAACCTCATTTGCAATATTTCTTCTTGCCACATCCCACTTCTGCTGATCCCTATAAATGTAACTCGCAACCACCCGAAATCCGCAGTTCTCGTCCGGCGTCACATCCAGATAACTCTGTACGTAGCTGTGAACTACGTAGGGAATCCTACCACGATGTCGGTACTGAAAAAAATCCGTCTTGAATGTATCTGTAATATCAGAATAATTTCACGTCATAATTTAAGTAATTGAATTTACAAACATAATTAGTCATCGTTAAGATAAAAAATAAAATTAAATTACCTGTCGGATCTTGAGACGATGAGCTTGTCGGGGCACACGAAGAAGTGCTTGTACGACCCACCGGACGACCTCTTTCCCTGTAGTCCCACATCGACGGAGCACAAGAAGAAGTGCTCTTACGCCCCGGCCGACGACCTGTTTCCGTGTACCCCGATTGCGATGGAGCACACGAAGAAGTGCTTTTACGCCCCGCCGTACGGCCTCTTTCACTGTACTCCCATCTCGATAGATCGCGTTTTGTTGAATTTTTCTTCTTGGACCGACCTTTCGGATTTTCCTTCACTGCAGGTTCTGTGTATCCCTGTTGATCAGGGTGAAGCTGAGAGTCGATGAGATGGTTCAGGTACCATACAGTCGCAGGATCGGCCGCTTCAACCTCCTCGGCAAGCCTCCGAAAATAATCATGATCAGTCCATCCACTCGCCGATGCACTCTGCTGACCTGTCCGTACCGAAAATTTAAAGAATTATACAATATGCTCTATCAAAATTTCTATAAATTAAATAAAATTTAGGAAAAAAAAAATGTTGAGCATGATGTTCTATAGATTTATTAATCTCGCAATTATACCTGGCTGCGTCACCTCTAGTGTGCTCTAGAAGATGTGGATGTCGTCGATCGTAATATTTCTACGTACAGTATGTGCCTCCCTTAGCTCACAGGCACAAGGAAGTCCATGAGTGTATTTTAGTGCACAATCGCAGCGCTCCGAAACATTTTTGTCGAAGTCTCGCATCTTCTGAAGCTCATCATTCAATATATCCATACAGTAATGCGAGACCCGCAGTGTCAACTGCTCGAAAGGGAATCCACTGTAGCCCGTACTCATCCTATGTCTCGAAGACTCCAGCGTCTCCCTGGTAATACATTACATAACATAACATTCGACCCAATTAAAATTTATAATTAATGCATTAATAACACAGACTTACAGTATAAATTAAAAAATATACCTGACTTTAGTCAATTGAGAATCAATCTCTTTGTCAATCTTCTCCCAAACCGTGTCGAGCGAACCAGTCGACGTGTTAAGCCACCGCTTCAACGTAGCGTGGGAACTCTCCACCCTACACGACGTTGTGTTGCCAAAATGTAAGACAGTGTCCGTCCACACTTTGACAAACTTCTCCTTGTGCACTAGCCATGTCTGATCCACATATTCTAGCACACGAGGAAACGCCGCGTATGTAACAGCCAAATCAGTTACAGCAGTTTTGTATTTGTCCCACGTGTTCGCCTCGCAACCTTCTTCCACTTACCGTGCGTGAACTTCTGCGCGAAGATCTTATTTTTAGTTGTGGTTGTCGACGTTAATCGATAGACCCTGTCTTCCACATCCTTGTTGATGTGCCACGTGCAGAGTAAGTGGGGCGTCGTCGGAAAATTCCTCTGAATAGGAGTGATCAACCCTAACTCCCTGTCACTGACAATGACTGTAGGATGTACATCAGGCCCTATCAGAAGTCTCAACAGCTGTAGGACCCAGTCATAGCTGTACTCGGTTTTGTTCTTGATAATTGCATAAGCAATTAAGAAATTCTTGTTGCACGGCGTCATTCCAACCATCTCAACCAACGGCATGTGGTACTTGTGCAAATGAAAGCAGCAAGAAGAAAAAACATAGAATCAAAAAACTTACTCAAACATACTATTTTAAGATTCACATTATATTACTATTTATAATGTAATGTAACATACTTGTTGGTTTTGTACGTGGAATCTATACCGACATACCAGTAATATGTCCAGAATAGACTGGCTGCTCCTGGATGCGACATGAACACACGTGCCAACTCCTGTGTGTCCGGGTCAACATCTGTGTAACTATGTAGTTGCTGCCCCTAGCCAAATGCAGAAACTGGCCAACAATATCTCTACCCTCCAGACGGTCTTTTCACAATTGACCTCTATAGTTATACACTTGTCGGCAAGTAGCGTTGTTCACTGGGTTTTTCTCCTGAATTGCAGCCAATATTATTCCCGGTCTTGCCTGAGCATCAGTCATATCACGGACAATCTCTTTGGATGAATCGCTGAGTCGGCTCATCTGTCGATGACCCTCGGGATGCACTGCCGAAGCATGATTATGAAATCCCTTCTCGTCTTCTAAAGGAAGCCAGATACTCCATTTTTTGGAATTTGCTTCAAATTTGACTTTTATCAGAAAAGGGCAGCCAGTAAATTTAGTCTTCGAACGTCTCAAAACAGCATTCACTAGATTTCCCAGTTTTCCTGCCTTGCCTCTGTAACGTTCCCCTCGATGACACCTCAACGTCCGAACCATTCCATCTTTTTCGTGTCTCGAGATGACCAATTCGAAATTCCATACCATTGCAATGTCTTTTGCCCATTCAATAGCTTCCTCATGACTATCAAATAACTCATTTGTAGCAAAACAAGATCGGTAATCTTCACCGTCTCCTCCAAAATCTTCGAGTGGCACCTGCAATATGTTACGATGTATGTTAATAATGTTACAAAATTATGAATTATAACTTCTCTCAAATAATAATAGTAATTAATTTGTAATTTATTATATAATCAATTCAAACTTCTAACGTTATATCAATAAATTTTACGTTATAAGATAATACATTCATATATATTAATAATTTATACTAATATAAATTTTTCCTATTACATAATTTTATACTATTAATTTAATACTAAATACTAATATTAGTTTTTTATAAATACTTTCTATTAGTATATACTAAAAAAATAATATATTACTATATAAAAAAATTATTATTATATTACTAATACAATATTATATTACTAATAGAATTTTTAATATATATTATTATATATTAATATAA